AGTCATCAGAACAAAAGAACACAATCATCCTAAATATCTACACTTGTAACACTTTCTTCATTCATCCTTCCATTGTCTATAAAGGGGTGGAGGGGAAAAAAATAAAACAACAGACTGTAGTATGAAATAGCTTGAAATCCTTTATGCAGAGCAATTCTACACAGGCTGCAAATTAAACTTGTGCAAAATAGGCTACTGTCTATATCCTTTAGGAAATTCCCTAGCATTAAGAAATTAAAAATTTCCCAGACCACTAACCCAAAATTGTGGAGTTGTAGCTCTGAAGACTCCATAAGTGTTGTATGGAGCAATATGAATCAAAAACTCTTCCATCAGTTGTTTCTACAAGTTATTCTGGAATTAATTTGATAGAAGGACTAGAATTTGCCCTTCTGGACAGACCACACAATGCAAGACCCTATGGATGGATACCTCAAGCTTCACAAGACAACAGGAGCACTTGCACCAAGAACCATATCACCAAATTAGATCTATTGTCTTCTTTCCACTATAAGGGAGAACTGTGCTATTTCCATGAAGGGGGAAAGCTTTAATGAAAGGTAATATGACTTCAGGAAGGAGAGAGTTGGAAGAAAATATGCGTACCCTCCTCTCTGTAGCCACTGCCTGCCTACACTTTTCTTCCTTGTAGCAAGAAACCTCCTCCAGTAGTGAACCACCTTCCTACATGAAGCGGATAAATGACATAGCAACTCCCTTTTATCAGCTGCTCCTGGGCCAAGCCTGAAAGTCCCATGAGGCAGCATAAGCACTGAAAGAACTTCAGGATTAGTGCATTCTGTGTTGACTCAGTGCCAAACGGAGTGGGGAGCACAGCTAGTGGTTGTAGGGCGTATTCCTGCCTAATGGGGAAGTGAACTTGTTCACCTTTGCTTCAGCTTACAGCAGCTGCGGACACATCCTGCTTGGACAGTGGTGAAGTAGGATTTTTTCTGTCTCTGTAGATAGGGTGTAGGGATTAGGCAGTGTTGATCTCCAATACACACATGCCAGATGTGTTAGTATTTGCCATCCACCATCTACACTTTTGTACTGCACTGGCAGTCTGGGGACTTTTGGGCAGGATCGCTGTGCAAAGTCATATTCAGACCAAATTCACATGAACAATTGGGTTTGCTTACCCTCTGTTTTATACCTAAACCAACAGATGACAAGAGCTTAGAAACTGTTTGCTAAGTAGTAAAGTAAGACGAGTCATGCATAAAATTGTGGTCACCCATATGAGTGTGAACCTTTGCAATCTCCTGCAGTAAGATATAGCTTTGTTAACTTAGTAACTTCCAAGATCTCAACTGAAACCCAGTAGAATATAAACTGACTTTCACTCCAGAGGAACCACTTCAATAAAATGTGCTGAAACAAATAAAGTGCAGCAGAAACACAATGGATATTAATTGCTTTTGAAAGTAGTTTTCAACATAGCTACATTATGATGAATTTTCCTGACAATACACTGCTAGAAGTTGTGTCCCACTCTGCTCTAAATGAGATCATAGGTTGGCTGCTTGCCAAGCTTACACTAGTATGATGCTGCAAGGGGCTCTGACCTCCCTGGCAGACCCTGAGTACATTTCTGTCACTTTAGGTTGACCAGTCAACCCATCAAGGTTTCTCTGCTGCTGGTGTGCTGAATAGATTTCCCTGGAGTCCTTCAGAACTGTATAGCAGAACACTCAGGAAAGATGCCCTCTTTATTTATTAAGAAAACAAAAATAATAGGACAATAATAATAATAAATGGAATTTTAATGGTCTCTAGATAACTAATTTATGCCATTCCCTTCCTGATCTGATGATAGGTTTTGCTTAAACCTCCAGGTGACCATCCTCTATGTTGTTTACTTATTCCAGCTCCACAAGAGCACTACCTTCATGGGAATGAGAAAAAAATGCAACCTCATTGCATGCCACAGACACGTTACATAGCAAGCAGGACAGCACACACATTAGAGGATTTACTGTGAAATCATCTTGCAATCAGTGTAGGATTGATCTCCATAGACCACTCTTGACAGCAGCATGTACTTCATGAGCAGTTACACACCAGTTTTTAAAACTAAGGAAAAAATTGTATATTGGGACTATTTTTCAGCCTGTTTGCTATATTTTTTGCATTCTGTCCCATGCTGGTTTTACAGATCTCAGAATAAAAAGTGTAAATGAACAACCTGGGTACTATGACAAAAGAAAAATCTAGGTACAGAACATCATCTGCATTCAAGCCACCAAATACTATGACAGAAACCATGTTTACAAATCAGGTTTTTTTTATTTTAAATCTTTCTGAGGGGAGTTACATTATTTACCATATATATAATATATATATGAAGTATATAGAGAGATTGTTTATTTGTAAATAGAAAAATTCTATAGAGAAGAATGTCAAGTTTTCACACTTTAAAAAAAATCATCAACATAAAGCCATGTTTAATGCTTGTATAATGTGATATAATAAACTTTAAAATAAATTATGCATATGAAAATTTACTGGTTGGCATTCTTTACTTCCTTTTCTATCTACCTTATTTGTTCAGCAAGCAAACAGACCAGTCAGGTAGAAGCAAATATCAATGCAACCCTAAAAGAGCCAAAACCTACCAGTGCTTTCTCTCAGTGGATCTGTTGTGTATTCACATAGTCAAATATTGTTCCTGTTAGGGTTGTTGGAGTTTTTTTTAATATTTCTACTTAAACATGTTCCTCCTTGTTTTGTCTTGTGGGTCTGCCAGATGCTGCGTGTAATTTGGACAGTGTGGACTGCTCCCACAGAATTAATTAGTTTTGAGCAACCCACATATCTTTGTCAGGTAAGCTTTTAGCTGGAAGAGATGAAAGATCGGGGTGCAGGAGTGGGATGGAGACTTCAAAAATTATCTTGCTTCTTTTACACAGACAAGGAAGGCCCTGGCTCAGAGTCTAGCTAGCAGAGGACAGTATATGATCCCAGAGAAAATACTATTCAAAATTAATGAATTGTTTTAATTAATGATGCCAATTAAAACAAGAAGCAGATAGAAAAAAATTAAAGCAGAGTCACTTTGTAGCTCTGCAGCGGTCATGGGAGATTAGTTAGCAAGAAACAGGGTAGTTGCAGAGGTCATCTGCAAAGCTTAAGGATGTTTGTCTCTAAACCACTTACAGCAAGATATTCTTCCCAGTGAAAACTTATCTTTATGTTATGATTGTGGACCGATAGATATTACCTAGCCCAAACTTTCACTTAATACCAAAATTAAAGTTAAATGACTGCTCAGTGCTCAAATAGTGACTTCAAGCAACAAAGGGGAGGTAAGATGGTAATTTATGTGTTTTCTCTTTTATAAACAAGTATGGGAACTTTTAAACAAGTATGGAAACACTGAGAAGAAAACTCTATGTCGCTACATTTTTTAACTATGATAACCAGGAAGATTAGTCTTCATGAACAAAACCGGTAGAAGTTACAGATGATCTAAGATAGCTTAAGGCAGCATCAACTACAGCACAGTGATCTCAGCACAGAGTGGTGCAGAAAGGACATGCTGATGCTGTTTAACACGGGAGTGACCAGTCAGCCTCAGGAGAAGCATATTCAGATGGGAATTCAGCATCTGTGTTGGGAAGGCTGTAGCCATACCAGCAGGCACACAGGTCAAGTGCTTGCTGCAGGCTTCTGTTCTCTGTTCGCAGCTTACCCTCTCTCACAAAGCACAGGTACACAGAGGCACACTGGTCCACTTCAGCACTCTGCAACAGCATGGAGATACCAGTACTTACCCTTTTTCAGATCTGTGGGCTGAAAGTACCTGCTAAATAAAAATTATTATATTCCAAGGCTCAAGAACTATTCCATACCACAGAATGCCATATCTATTTCTCTGTCATGAAGACAAGGTACAAGGCTGAACAAGACAAGGCAGTTGTCTTCTGAGACTCTAGAAGCATATCCAGCTCATTCAGTCAATGGGCTAATTGTCTCAGAGTGACTAGGATAGTCTCAGAACAGAGAGATTCCTGTCCCGAATCTCAGGAGACTTTATTCAGGAAGCTATTGTTTGTCTCAGATCCTAGATATAGGGACAAAAGACATAACTCATGACATCTATCTCTTCACTCATACCCCTTCCACACAGCAGCTTTAGGCAATGACCTGAACACAGAACTGCAGCAGAGGAATGTGAGACAAGGGTCCTAAACTCTGGATTAGATCATGCAAACCAGTGCTTCAGGAGGCAAAGGGGAAACCTGCCCCAGTCTCATAGTTTTGTGCTGGATTAGCCAAGGGAGTCATGTCCTTGGTGACATCCACACAGTGCCCTGTTCTCCTCTAGTAGAGGTCTGGTCCTTGGAGCCCATTTTTTCATCCTCATATTTTCTGATCCTGACAGTTCATCTTACGCAGTAGATCATAAAATGCCCTCTGTCACAGGGGCACAGCAAAAAATTGATTTAGATGCTAAAGGGCCCCAGTCAAGGTAGATAAGCTAGCACTGCATCATATTCCAAGTTACAGCAGTTCAGTACTTGGCACAAATGCAGCATAACTTTTAGAAAGCATTTAAGACATGCCATCAGTTTTTCACTTGATTCTCAAGCATGACTGCTCCCTAGGCTTCCCAGCTCAACTTTCCCACAATGGCTTTTATTTTCCAACTTGATTCTGCTGATGTAGAGAAGTTTTAAACATTCTTGTGTACCCATAGTAAAAGTCTGAAGTACAAAACCAACACAGTGCGTCAGAATCTATTCCCTGCTGTACCAAAGAGTGTGCAGGAGAAGGAAGTAGTGGGGGCTTTCACCCTCCCAAAACACCAGCACAGTGCAGGGTCTGTGCACAGAAGCTGTTCAGCTTCTCTTGGCAGTCCAACCAGATGACAAGCCTTTCCATGGCCTGCAGCCCTGGAGAAGCCTTCACCAAATGACATCCTCTGTGATCCCTTCCCTGTCCTGCGGAACTGTGCAGGTGGCTTTGCCTGCCTGCCAAAACACACAGTGTGCTCTTGCCTGAACCAGCCTTGAATGTGAATCCCCAGAGATACAAGGACTGCCTGAATACAAATGAGTACGTGAGGGTTCAGCTCACAGCTCTGGAGATAACAGCAGTGGCAACTGCAGATGCAGCCTTCCCTCTTGTCCAGTACAGCCAAAAGGGCCCTCTTCTTTATTAACATCTCTGCCACACTATGCCCAGTCCAGAGCAAGAGCAATCCTAGGCTGGCACGCTGGGCATGAAGTAGAAGAATACAGTGGTTCTGCTCTATGGTGTTGAATAAAAATCCCAATAACTCATTTCCTTCATAAGCACAAGCTCTGTAAGGGTAAGATGGGGCAGAAGAGGGAGATGGACTGTGAAGGGGACGACAGTACTGACTCTTGCCTCTACCCACCAACAAAGTCACTATTGTATCTTCCAGCAGTGAGCACAGAGGAGGAGATGCAGGTAACCAAGGAACAAGTGGCTTAATAAAAACAAACAGATGATGAAACCAGCAAAATAAATACACTCTCAGGACCAGTTCAACAAAGTAACCAGATGGCATTAAATACAGCTCCTGTACCAAAAAAAAAGAACACTTGTTTCCTGCAATTTGATAGTCCCACAACCCTAATCTCTTAATATTTTCAATGCCTTAAAAGACAAAAGAAAAACACAAACCAGAAAAACAGCCATGTCTGGAGGAATAGTACTCTTCCCAAATAAAAAATTTACTCTGAGGGTGAAATGAGATCGAAAGCAGGTATTTTCCAGGAGGCTCAAGAATATCTGGCAAATGTTTCACATAGAAACATTGCCTTAAACCCTGTCACCAAGATCCAGAGTGAGAGAGTGAGGAAATACAAGAAAGACCTGATTCCTTTCTTGACTAATGTCAAGGTCATACAAGGGCAATGGTGCCACAAAGCTCTGCAGACGCCTGCCCATGACCCAAGCAGAGCTGGTAACCGACCCAGAACAGGAATGTCAACAGTGCTTTGCATGAGGAAAACTGTCTTCGTGGGCTGACGTTGCCTTGTGTCACATATGAAGACCATTGACTTTGTTCTTATCACTTGCAACATCCATTTCAATGTGGCTGAAAGCAGGATTATCAGTTCCTTCGTCTGCCATGGTAAATGGTTTACAGTTCAACACTTCCACATTCTCTGGCTAAAAAACAAAAGACAAAAGCTGTGCTGTGAAGCAGAAGGAACAGTCTTCCTCTCTTTGACCTGCATGCCAGCAGTCAGTCCTGACATACAGGGTGCCTTGCAGGAAAACACATGTTGGCTGCTGACAGAGCGCAAACACTTACTCATTGCAGTAGATGGTATTTTTCAGGGGCATGGAAAGTTTCTTATTGCATAAGGTACTAGTTGTGTAAAATGCTCTTGTCACATAAAATGTTCTTGTCCTGCAAATTGGCTGAAGTGGCTTTGGGAGTCCAAAGTTCTAATTGCTGTTTTCATGTCTAATGATACCAGGTCTTTGAGCTCTTTACTCCCAACCCTTCATCCTTGCCCCATTTTTGACAGGAAGAGCAGATTAACATGCATCATTGCTTTGATGTTCCATTTCTGATAAACATAATGGATGTTGAGCTCTTCATATGCAGAAAGTTGCTCAGTTCACCCTGTCTTTTTTATCTCAACAACTTTCTGCATTATTTGTGATGCCAAACCACTTGTTATCCAGCTCTTAGCCATATAAAAGACATACTTATTTCTGACTCCAGCCATAAAATAAGTATGGCTGTGGACATTAGCTTCCATGTGGGTGGTGGATTGTTTTTTTTTGCAAAAGACTTCCAGAATTAAATTCCCAGATAGTGGAAACAGATGTTGGCCCATTAAAGACAGTGAATAACAGTAACTCAACAGCTGGCCTCCAGTACTGACATGGGCAAACAGCATTACAATAGCATGGTAAAAAATCCCTTTTTTTCACTGGTGTTCTAGTTTTCTTATCCCAAAATTGAAATACATAGGATCATACTAAAAGGAGTTGTCAGTATAGAGGAAAAACAGCTTGTAAGCTGGACCACCTCAAAGAGACAATCACTGCCTATAGTGTAGCACCTGAAAAGCACTGAACAAAGCTGAGTTTGAATGTTCAGCTGATGATATTGATTGAAAACTGATCTGTAGTTTATTTACAAAAAAAATAATTCTCCTGTATTGTCCCTTCTAAGAGATGTTATTACCCAATAATGCTTCCCCTTTTCTTTTATCTTGGGGAGGGAGGGAGGAAACAGATACACTGACTAGAAATGTTTTCTCTCAAACAGTAGCCAAAGTTACAAAAAAATCCAGACTTTAGAGAACATACTACAAACAAAGGAAGCTTTGATGAATCCAAAGTGTGCCTTGAGGCATCTTCCAAGAGGCTAGTTAGGGAGTATTTTAGCAGAAACATAGAGAACAACTGTCCCTTTTCTCAGTTGATGCTCTGTTGCTGACTGAAGTCAAGCTGTGGCAAAACATAACTTCCTCGCCTATGGGAGTTGTCTTACTCCTACCAACCCTGAGCTCTGATACTGCCTTAAAGCAGATAGTCATATCAGGCAGCATCAGGTGCTATTCATCCTGGTGGGAAAAAAGCAAGATTAAGACTGTTTGGCTTTGTCCATGGGAGGAAAGATTGATTTAAATCAAAGATGCACAATTACACTTACTGTCTCTGATTTAGATCGGGAGAAGTTGGACAGGAAATCTTCCTTGGTCAGCAGGAATTTACGATCTGTGTTCTGCTTTAGTCCTCCTGCAAAACAGACACGTTTCAGTAATTTCTTTACAAAGATATATATCCTGCACCTCCCAATATATAAAATGATCCCTCAAGGTCTATTTGAAATGCCTTAGCCATTTCCCAGCATCCTAGGTCCTCCTCAGATTTCCTATTTTGGAAAAAAAACATAGAATCTGCCAATGATCAGAAAAGAATGAATCACACATGATTATGTCTGAGATTAGCCTGCCATTCCAGGAGCTGTGCTGCCCTGGGCCCTGAGCCCCAGTTCTCAGCTCCTTGTCAGCAAGACTCCTGTCTCCAAACTCACCAGCAATTTTTATAGTGAATTATTTAAGGGCAGCCGTAACGTGGGAGGATGAAGGTTAACGGAATGTTTGGGCATTTTTAAGGCATGGAAGATTATCTATCCTTGTGAGGAAAATAAAGGAGATGTAAGTGTTGGGAATTAGCTCTGCTTGCCACCTGAGGCTTAAATGGGATCTTGCTCCACAAGTAGGGTGACATTGTGGTTGGGTAAGTTCTTTTGTGTTTCTGTTTCTTAGGCTCAGTATTCCTCATCTGGATTTACTGAGTTGTCTGGTTTTCAGGCTTTATTTCATGGCCTGTAAGTAACCTGATCCCAGGCTGGTAAAAAGCAAAATTTGGCTACAAGCATCACTATAGCAATGGGAAGAGCATGAGATTGGAAGAAAGTGGGGAGCAAATCTTATAAAAACTTAAAAGGAAAAGGGTAAAAGTGTAGCTTGTACTTATTAGTTGCAAGGCAGAGGGAAGCTAATGGAAGTGAGTTTATTTGCTGAGTTTGGAGTTTCATAGCTGTGGATCAGACCAAAAGTTAGAAATCTAACAGCCTTGAAGTTTAGGGCTGTCATAGGAACCCGGCTGGGGATACTGGGTAAAGCTGTGAAAGCAGCTGCTTTTTTGATATTTCTGCCATGCGTGAGGTGGATGACAAGTGCATGTTGCATCTCACCTGGATGCAAAAGTAGTGAGGCCACAGGCTGGAGCTGAAGTCCTCACTCTTACCCATGGGGTGCTGCTTTTTCCCTTGTGCAAAAGGACAGGGAAACAGAAAGAAGCTAACGTAGCCATGCAGCTCTTAGGCACATTCTCGGGGAATGTGGTGAAAAGCATGCACTATATAGGTGCAGGCAATAACCCTTGAGTGCTCTGAACTCACTGAAAGTAAAAGTGCTTTTGTCCTCTAGAAGCATGGGTGTATTGTCCTTGCTTGGAGCTGTTGATGTTCAGGGACAACCCTTAAACCTCCAGCCTCTGCTGGCATCTAATAAAACAGGAAAGACAGATGTCTTACACTTTTTTTTCCCCTCAGGTTTACAAATATGCTAAAACTTGTTTCTCCTCAGAAACTTGAAGTAACTTTTGTTGTAAGCAGAGACCAAGAATGGGATGCAGAAGGGCTGAGGGAAGGAAATTATATTTAGGATGGTAACACAGTGCTTGCAATGACAGCTCTCTGGTCGTCTTAGTTTGACAGAGATCTAAGACACATTCAGTCACAGCTTTGGAACTAGTACCTGTTAGGAGGCTGATAATTATTCCCACAAGTACTGTGATAAGTGTCCCAAGTGTGCTGAAGTAGAGGTAAGACAAGGAATACCAGTTGTCTGCCAGGGCAGGCCTGAAATAGAGCAGAAAAAGTGTTAATCTTTCTTTCCTGTTCCAAGCACTTTGAAAATGTCTGTTTCCAGACAGTCTATAAATACAGAGTTTCTTCTGAACCAAGCAGCCTGGTAATCTTGAACTACCTCCATACAATAATATGTGCATTGCAAATTTGTTTCAAAATTCATAGGACAAGTTCCTTCGCAAGAAAGGAGGCTGGTCAGTACAGTGAGGCAACGCATGAGACAGAGCAGGTGAAACAGGACAGTCCTGTCTTTGTTATGAACCAAGGGCACAGTTGAACACTCCAGTTATCCAGATTAAGGGATTGTTTCTTTCTGAAGGGTGAGGTTATTTAAAGGAAGGGACACAGAAAAAAAACACACGAGGAAATCAACCCTGTACAGCCCTAAGCAGCCAGAAACAATAGAGCAACTGTCTATACCTTATTTTGTTCTCCCTGACTGTGTGCTCTGTCACAACAGCTGCTTCCCTGCAGTCAGGAGCAATGCTGGAGGTCTCATGCAAGAGGTGTAGTATATGAAACTGGATGCTGGGCACCCATGTGTGTATCAGGGTACCTCTTGACTGTGCAATGCTCTTAAGGGGTAAAGATTTGGAAACCCTACAAATGTCTTTGTTCAGTTTCTTTCTGTTCCTGGTGTTCCCTATATTCCCATTCATAACTGTTTAATTTAATTGTGATTGTCCAGAATAAGACATATGGTAATTGAAGAATGGAGGAAATTCCTTGTGTTGTGTCCTTTGTATGGATTACAACTTCTGAACTTCCTGAATATAATTATTCTGCATAGACAAGTTGCTGTAGGTAGAGCTGTTAAACTGGTAAATTGCCCTTTAAATGCCTACTCCTTTAATTTATGTGACAGTCTGTGGAAGTTAATCTAATAACTATAAATGTTATTTTTGTTTAACATTGTGGTTCACAGTAAGGCATATCCAAGCCTTTAGACTCAAATATTGAATTGAAGCTTTTCAGATCAATAGGAAGATTCATTTTGACTTCTGTTCTGTGATAACTCAGACAAACTTAATTTTCACAGGAAAATAAAAAAAAAAAAAACCAGAAGAAACTTCTGCATCTTAAATAGCATGGTAGGTAAATCAGAGAGGAATAGTTATAGTAACCCAAATGCTCTGCAGATGTTTGTGTTGCTTTAAAACAATTACACATTTGCTGATTGCACTTGATGAACTCATATACCTCTCTGCAGTTGGTGTGCTGAATATTGTTGTTAATGGAATTTCTGTTGATGTTATATTTCCTGAAGATATATTACAGCCTGCAGTTGAGAGATACAGTGGCTTGGTCCTCTCTGGGAGTGGAGGATAAATCTGAGATCCAATTCCGACCCAAAGTGAAATAGCGAAGCCACTGACAAGACCCACAAATGCACCCTGCAAAATAAAAAATGAAACTTGGATTTACATGAAAAGCATAAGGATTTTGAAAGAAACAACTAGACAAGTAAGAAACAGTCAAGATAATCTAAACTGTAGGCTCCATGGCAGAAATGAAATATACAGTTGGGAAGAGCTGGGGACTTTACTTCATTCCCCTTTTGGAACATACAATGTTTCCTCACAGATCCTGAGCATACCTCTTTTTATTTGGCCACTAGGTCTTTATAATCAAAGGATAACTTTGGCCTGCATAGTATATGGGAAAATCCTGCTTTATCTGAGACCCTCCTTGAACAAACACAGAAGCAATTTTTCCATTTTCTTACCTGACCTGTTTTTGTGAAAACTCTCTCCTACATCAGGCATAGGTGGATTTTTTGGCTGACACCTTGTGATTTTTTTTTTTTTGTACTTTAGTATATGTATAAAATTTGCAACTGCAAAGAGACAAAGCTTAGTGATTAGTGAACATCTCAGGATTACTAAATAGCAATCCTGCCAGACTATCCCATGGACCATATTAACAAAGTTCGTAAAATCCTTTTTTGATGGAATAGTGTTTTCCTCTGGAAATGATAATTTCACAATACTGAAGCACTCCGAAAATACCCCAATTTGGGCTGCAAGCCCTTAGGCCTCATTTTTCCAGCCTGACCCCCTTTTGCTCAGACAGGTCAGCATTCTCTCAGCCTATTGGTTGTTCAGCTACATGTCAAGATGCATTGTTCCCTGCTTCTAAAACTATGGCTTTAATAAATCCTTGTCATAGTTCCATTTTTATTCAGAATATTTTCCCCCTTCTGGACATGTAAATCTCTTCATGGGATGGAAATTTAAGAGTCTATACAGTCCTATTCATCATTTCCTCAGGAAAAAGAAGAAAGGGAGCAAAGTGTAATGTCCTCACGGGAAGTACCAAAGACATCTCCGTGCTGCCCAATATATTGGTGGAAGAGGATGAAGGAGATGCCCAAAATTGTCAAAAAATTTTGGACAAACAGGTCTTTAAATTTCTACTTACAGTTCCATTTGCAAAGGAGCAGAGGATTCCCAAGGCAAACAATCCTAAAAGGGGGCCACCGACCATGCCAAAAATGCTGAGTGCTGCCTGAGGAAGGAAGGGAGTCTGCTATCAGGTGCTGTGCACAAAAGGCAAAGCCTCCAAAGTGACAAGAAGGGAAGACATTGAGAAAGAAATCATGAGAATTTTTTTAACTGGTGTGTACTCAGCTGCCAGGTATAGTTACACGGGTGCTTAAAGCAGAGGTTGAGCCATGGGTGGTTTGAGGTCAGTACCCAACGAAGAATAAAACTAACCTCATAATGGTATCCAGCAATTATTTTCTTACATAATTCATTCTGGATCATTCAACATGGGCATGAAAAAGCTGTCTGACACTTACCTGCAACAAGGCTCCCAGGAGAGATGCCACTGCAGCCATAGCAATACAGACTCCACCGTAAAACAGGCCTGTGTGGGAAAAGCAAAACAATGCGCAAATCTGCCAAAGTTTGAAAATCACCAGTAGAAAGGTTTATGTCTAACCCAGCATGGCCTCGACATCTACAAGATAAACCTGCTAGTATCTAGATTTTTAATAAGAGAGCCTGAATTGGCCAAAAGGTCAGCTTTCTGCTTACGTTAAGAGGAGAACATGCAAACTTGACAAAATCTTCTTCCTGTATAGTACCAAAGATTAGTTACTAAATGGCAGCCATATGGATTAGTCATAGTGGCAATAACACATATTATTTATATTCCTCAGCTAATCTCCTGGGTCATTGTCCTTATTTTGAGGGCATGATTTTTGCTTCTCAGTCTAAAGTCTTTGGAGCAAAAAAGTAAATGCTGGTAGATTACTGGGAGTTGGCACCATGACAAAGAACATCCTGGGTCACCAGGATATAGAGTGTCTTCCCAGGACCCATAAAACCGGATTACTTGTTTTTTCCACCTCCGTCCCTGATGAATTTCACTGCATAAGCAATATGTTAATCCCACTATTTAATGTGATGTGTCAGGCAACTGACACATGGTATGACAAACAACAATTTTGGCATAAGCATTGTTTGCAATAATGTTTAAGAAACTTCCCTCAGGTGAAAATATTTAATACTTGTTACCCTACCATCAGTATGTTGTGCTCACTGGTATGGCCTGTGACACCATGTTGGAACTGTGGTATTTCCATGCTTACTACAAACACTTTCCTGGGCTACACCTGCAGCTGGACACAGACAGTACAGCTAGCAGACATGGTGATTGCACTTCACAGATTTAAACCATCTGCTCAGCCTAGTTTTGATCCTCTTTGAGCTACATTAAGCAGAGGAGCTAAACACAGTGACAGTCTAAGAGTATATCAGAGAAGATGTGAAGTTTTTCATTCTCTGGAATATTTCTGGGACACAATGCTATTGCTTGCGTATCAGTTCAAAAGGTTTGTTAGAAAACTGTTTCCTATGCTTCTCATTTTTGACAAATGAAAGAAAAATAGCTAAGATATTTGGGTTTGTAGTGTTGCAAATCAATATTGAACACAAGGTCTTCCTTCTTAAAGACCTAACAAGATTCTTTTTCTTAAACTCACTTATTCCCCATTTGTGTAAGACCTACGCAGGTGATCTCATCTCCCCCAGATGTTGCACCAACATAGTCCCACTACTGTGAATTATTTACTCCTGACTTACACTATCATAAGAGAGATCTGAATCAAGCCCTCACTTCATAAAGCAAAAGCAGAAAAGATGTTTTCCAGACATACTCATCCCCATGGAAATCCATGACAACTTCTTTTCAGAGAGCGATCTGAAGTAGGGCTTAATGAGGTCTTCAACAGTCACAGCAGCCAGAGCATTGATGCTGGAGGACACCGTACTACAGAAGGCAAGATTTATATCATTTTTTTTATCTTAGAAGGTGAAATCATAGATAACAGGTGGGTTACTGGCAGAGAGAAACTGCCACTGTCTAGAACAGTGTCAGAAAACTAATGTAACTGCTGTATTGGTCAAAATAACTTATTATTCCAGGTAATGCAGTTAATAGCTTACAAAAATTGTTTAAAAAAATTACTCTTGGTGAAGACGAAGAAAATTCTGATGAAAAGTTGAGCTGGGCCCGGAGAAGTCAATGAAAATATTTATGCCTAAGCTGTAAACACTACTGGTATATGTTATACCTTCATAAATGATCTACAGTATATATCTATGAAGGTAAAATTCCCACTTACTTTGAACTCACTCTGAGAGGAGGATTCAGATAACCTAATTATGGTCATCTAAAAATTAGGGATCTAATTGATGAACTATTGTAGGCTCCCTGTGGGGTCAGAGAAACCAGCACTCCTAAGACACAAAGTCAGACCGATGATCTTGTGTCTGTGTACCTTGTTCTTGCAAGCCACCAACTTTTCTTCAGCATGTGAAAACAATCTTGGCTGTTCCCTCTATTTATGTAGCTACAAGTACTCAGAACAAGAAAGTTTATTCTGGTGTCACATTCATAAGTTTCTTCATTTTTATCTGCCTATTCAAAGAATTCCTTGGGATAGACAATGTTTCCCAAAAGGCACTCGTTGGGAAAGCGGAACAAAATGCTTCACACTATGGAATAGAAGGGTATCAATTTGTCTCCTACAGTAAAAATATATAGTGATCATTGTTTCATGGGATTCATTCAAGACAATCAGAAGCCCAGGAACTCTGGAAAAGAAAACTCTAAAGATCGAGGGTGAGGAAAGGCAGATGGTTTATGTTATGCAGATTTGAAACTGGAAAATTAAAGACAAGCAGTAGGAAATTTCCCCAAATTGTAGCTATTTGGTGTAACTACCCATTTATAATACTCAAAAATTCCTATAGCACAGGGGCTTTAAAAGCACAGCACAGAAAGGGGGATTTGTTAGTGATATACATCACACGTAGCTAGCCGTTTCCTCATGTTAATAGGGAAATCCAAGCAGCTTTCAGTCCTAGGACCTCAGAGCAGCACTGTTGGAAACTATGGATTTTTAAGGTGCATCATCAGAGATGTTATAGTGCTTTTTTTGAAGAATAAAAATTTGCAAGATAAAAAACTGAAATGCTAAAGTTTTAATATAAATGGAACTTTAGCTCCAACAAAAAAAGGAAGAAAGATAGTAGTTTCTAAATTATTAAATTACCTTAATGTCCCACTGTAGGCACTAGCCACAAAAAGCCCTGGCACTCCCGGAAAATCGCGCAGGATATCCAGCACCAGGTATGGCATTAGCTGAAAAATTCAGAGTAAGAAGTATTATCATCTTGCCCTAATTTTTCATTTTATCACTGTATTATTTTTGTTAATAGACCTTCTCACTGGCATTCTGTCCAACTGTTCTAATTTTTAATGTCTCATTTTGCTCCGATTATTGGTTTTCTACAGAGAAACTTTGTTTCCAGTGACAATGGTATAGGAAGCTAGTGTTGGGCAGCAGGAAGTCTGTTGAGGGGATTGGATGCCACTGTAGATGCTTTTTCTGCTGTTGACTCCACAAAAAGGTTTTTATATACAGTCCAATAACCTCAAGGTACCTGAAAACAACTTCATTATTGGAAAGTGTGAGATATTTTTTGACCTTTGCAACATTTGAGTGCTGGAAAGAGAGAGAAGAATTTTAAGATTTTCTTCCTGAGAACCATTTTTTTTTTTCACAGACAAGTCGGTCTTCTTAGTATCTTACTTCCAGTTTCTACCAAAAGAATTTGACTGACAGGAACAACTTAATTTCCTTCAGGTTTCCACCTTGGCTCTCATTTTATTTTTCCCTTAAAGACCAGGTGGTCCTGCCTCAGGTGCTCCATTGTCTGTGCTCTTCTCCTGGCTTTCCAGCTTACTGTACACTGGAGCGTTATCCAGAGCCTGTGATTATCTTAGCCTTAAACATGCAAATAAAAGGCATTTGATTTCCATGGACCCTGACTCTGGCCAGTCTATGGGCTCTCAGAACTCTTATTCCTCAGGTAAGTCTGCTGCTCAAGGTCTATTTAGGGAGAGGTTGCCACCTGTGATGAGGTGGTTTCTCTGCAGCACAGTTTGATTGCCCAGCTCTCCTCCGAAGGAGGGAAGCATGTTCCATCACTAGTGAACAACTGCCTGCTGGTAGCCTTTCTCCAAGTGTATGCTTTTGCCACGATAATGTTTTGAGTCTGAAAAGGCTTTTGCTTTCATCAGCACAGAGCAATTTACGTTGGGTGACACAAAGCAGCTCACCAGGACTCACAGCCACTCACAAGGGCACTGCTGCTCCAGCCTCTTCCCTTCACTTCTCTTCAAAGCAGTTTCATGTAACACTGACATTCCTGGGCCCATTTTGGGTGAAAAACCCAAACATTTCCAGAGAAGGGTGGACTGAGCACTCTCTACAGTGCTGCTCTCCCTGCTGCCCTCCTTAGCAAGCACTGAGGGATCTGCAGCTCCAGCACAGCTGGAGGATGCAGGGACTGAACAGTGACAAGGATAGACCTGCTGCTTTCTCCAGGGTATTTCCTCCCACTGTGGACTCAGCTTAATTCCTTGGTGTTACAGACTCGCCCAATACAGGACTCCAGCGTGTCGTTATTCCCAACCCCCTGACTCTTGAACTGCCTCCGTTTGGTTCTTATGGCTGCAGATGAAGGATGCCCTCTCACCACTTTCTGCCAAAATGTGGGGCCCTACCTGGTCGAGTGCTGACACCTGCTTGGCTGTCCATGGGTCACAGTCTTTGTAGATGGAGTAGAGGGCCAGCCCACACAGTGCGGCACAGGCCATTATTGCCCAGAGTCCCAACAGGTTGATGTAGAGGGACCTGTATTGACATACATGCAAACATAGAAACATGGATCACATTAGAGCTCGATGTCCCACAAAAGACCCCGTCAGTGCCAAGTAAGCACACACTCATTCCTGCACTGAGGAGACCTCCTGGTTGGTGACTGCCTGCCAGCAAGAGTGACTCCCAGCATTTCACCTGGTGTGAGATCACGGTTCTAAATGTACAAACGACACTTCTGGTATTGGTGGCGCAGTCTGAGGCTCAGTCCCTGACAAAGCCTGCTCTGGAGATGATGGGAGTGATATGGCAATCACCATGTTTCATCATGTGTATGAGTTGTATAATGCAGGCAGCAGGTCAGAGGATTCTCCTTCCCCCATGCCACACCCCTTGACAAACCCTAAGTAGATTTATAAGGCGGGGTGCCCCAGATTCAAGTGTGGGATACCTTTTAGTCAGCACCAGCACTCCTGGAGCTGTAGTGCAGGGCTCATATAATGCTGGAGTTGCTTTGTAAAGCTACAGATCTCCCATTTCCTCCTGAGACAGTCTCTGTGGGAGGCAGCAGTGAGGCACTGGGACCTGGAACCTTGTCTGGAGCTGCCTATGGCTGCCACTTCCAGGAAGCAGAGGTTTGTCAGCAACCTCAGGGCTTTACTAACTAAACCGTTTAGTAACTAACCAACTTGGAGTCTAGTATCATCCAGATACCCCATCACCTTTCTACATCCTGAGGGGAGCTTCAGGTTCAGCTAATGGTGAGACCAGAAATGCCTTTTCATCAGGCATTAATGCTGCTTTTGCCACACACAGCAGGCAGCTTCTACTGGCAGTGAAAAACACATTCTTCTTCTCCTCACCCAGAGAGGGCTTTTGCCTCCCATCTAACTTTTCAATCTTCTCAAATGTTTCTATGCTCTTGGTGACTCCTGGATCACAAAGTTCTTTTCACCTAGGGTGGTCAGTTCAAGCAAACATACCCACTGGGAGCTTGGCCTTGAAAAACAACGTTCCTTTCCAGCAGTTTTCTCCCAGTTATCTGTGTATCACTGAGAGCGATTTAACTACCTGATAGACCACATACTCTGGACCTGTGCCAATTGCTAAGATCTCCTCTGGGAGGACTTTTGGTTTCTGTGTAAATACATCCATGCTTGCACTGCTTCAGGAGGCCTTTTAGTGCTTTTGATTACTAAGAAGGTGAAGGGCACCAGTCTTTGGACTGCTCTAGAGGACCAGTAGGATGAATGAAGAGGTAAACCTAACTTTATAGGCCTTGTTAGGCATTGAAATGGACATTTTCAGAATGGCATAATGTAGATTAACAATTTGAACTATCAGCTGGTAAGCACAGTATAAGTTCTTATATAAGACCTACACAAAAACTGATTTACACATAGTATGGGAAACTGCATTTTTGCTTTGTATTTGCTATTAGGGGTGGTCTAAACACAGCACCAGCAGCCCTTTAAATTTCTCTCTAGCCTAATTTAGTAAAAATGAAGTGGTCTTCTTCTCTTAGATGCTTACACATTGTTTGGATGTCTTGCATCTATTTAGCTGAAGCTGTTCCTGCATTGGCATAATCTACGTTGATATACAACACTCAGAAGCTGATTTAGCACAAAATTTAACGAATGAGCTAAATCAATCCAGCTCTTTTGAACAGATGTAATAGCAGAATCAGCCTAGAACCTCTAGCAAAGATTAGAAATACAAGAGAAACACAAGGAAGCAAAATAAATTGTTTGTCAGAATCCAGCAATTCTTGTTTTTAAACTGCATCAGTGTTTGGCAGTGAAAAGAGAGATGGTTTTTTCCTTCTGATTTACATCCTAGCTCATGGTACACCCTATGACTAAGCACTGGAGTATAATAATTGTAGCGCTGTTGGAGGGAGGTTTTCCCACTTATTCTGCATGAGTAACATGGGGTGGAGTTTGGCCGAAGTAGGAACTGTGACTGTGTAAGGCTTATTTTCAATCGTTTGTTTCAGTCTGGCTCTAAGACTTTGGCACTGAGGCATGCCAGATGGCCTTGAAAGGAAAGCAGAGAAAAATGTGTTAGTAACCCATATTTTTCTGCCAGTGTAGCTCTCCTGCTCTGAGTGCCTACTATGGTTCAGATAAAAGCGTTATGTTCAATTTGGCTAGTGATTATTTGAGGACGACAGCATGTGCTCATACCTACTGGTGTGTTTCTTGAGTGGGGTGAAATCCTTTCCCAAAGCCTAAGAAAATTCCTATTCTTGTGTCACTGTTAAGGGCCTTCCCAAAACCTGCATCTGTGAAAGAATTATTTTCTCAGCTCTGCTTTATTACTGTGCTTTCTCTTACAAAACCTTACAGTAAATGTCATTGGGGTACAAAACCCTATTACTTTGACCTGATGACATTTTGCACTTCTATGTACAGGTTAAATGGCAATAAGAGATACAGGCCAACAGCATAACCTGCCAGATGTGTCTAATTACATTTGCAAATGAACTAGATAGTCACCACAGAATGGCATTGTTTATAGTTGTGACAAGCTGCAACCATTATACAAAATGATTTCTCCATGCAGGGGAAATATCCCGCACAAATGAAGTACAAGCAAGATGATGTCATGGAGTCCAACCACCCATGCCAGCAGGACAGGACTATACTGATTAAGGCTGTGCCACTGTTAATATGGTATGAGCTATAAATCCCATCCAAACCCCTGCAGAAATAGATAGCCTCCAGTCCCAGTCAAAGCTGCCACAACAGCTCAGAAATCTACCCAGAAGCTGCGATGGTGCCAGATTTCCTTTAGTCACTCTCTGCTTCTGGGATGCCCTGGAGGTGTCTCTCCTTGCAAAGACAGTAGGGAGAGTGTGAGAGAGAGGCACAGCCCTACATGGAGCAGGTGCTAGGGAAGAACAGCCTCACTGGCACACAAATCTGGCACAATGTATGTGGCTGTTCTCCCATATGCAATCATTCCAGGCAGCATTACAGATGTGGGATGTACCTCCTGCCTCTGCAGTGTTGAGAACCTAGAACCTACCCATGTGTCAGAGATTGTGGAGAAGCTATCTGGTGTGTTGGAGCTGTGGCAGTGAATGCTGGAGCTGTGCCTGATAACAAGCATCAACTCATTCCTGTCTGCAGCATGAATGGCTGAAAAGTAGATTTTCTTTATTGATATAACCAAAACATTTCAGTTGTAAACTGTGTGTGATTTTGTGGGCATTTTGCAAACTTTATGAAGTGAAAGCCTTTATAAAACTCCTCTGTATGCCACTGTACCATAGAATGTATAGGGACTATAGTTATGATGTGTGTTTCTATGTTTCTTCTAAAAAGGGACTTCATGAGATCGCTAATAATTCTTAAATCCTGAGCTGTGAACTAATGGAATGATACTAAAGATAAAGGTAAAATAACAGATCTAGTAGATATACTCCGTTCTAGAGTAAAGGCTCATCAGAAATGTTTACATTCAAAGAAAACAGAACCTTCTGCCAGTTTGCATAGTTAATTCTTAAAAAAAAGTCATGATTATTATGAACCCAAAATACACGATTCCTCAGCAGTTTTATCACTGAATAAGTCATTTCTGCATTTTCTCATGCCTATACTCATTGTTAAGGAAAAATTTTTTAATCTTTACTTATGCAAAATCCACACACAATGACTTAGGTTTAGCAGAACAGCAATTCAAGATACTGTCTTGATGTGACTTCAGCACAAGTACTTTATATTTAGTCTTTAGGTTGGACATAAACTTAATGCACCTATTTCTATGCAAGAATACTGGGCACAGCGAAGCACTCAGGCGCAAAGTTCAGTGTTACAGCAATCACATGTAATTCGAATACCAGTACTTATTGTGCCCATTTGTCTTCTACTGGTCCACAAAACAGAAGGTAAAAAATTGTTACACTTTATAAATGAAATTTGTATGGACAAAAGAACCCCATGTTCCTTTTAGAAAAATCTCCCTTATAAAGAAGAGTCACTGCTAAATTCAGACAGTGACTGCAGGCAGACTTACAATTTTGCGTGGAATCTGCTTTTGCATGCAATGTATCTCTGGACTTGAGACTGGTTGACCCCATATATACCTGTCCACGTGAAAGTCCCACCTATAACAATCGTCCAGAAGGTGTGCCTTTGCAAAGGATTGGGATCAAAGCTACAATGAGAGGAAAAAGAGAAAACAAATTCAGAATATAAAATCTTGTTATTATGTGAAAACCTTATATGCTTAGAAGAAAAAATTACTCCATGCTTGTTCTAATACAAACTTGCTTAATTTGGCCAGATTTTGAACATTCAGATACTCTTATCTTTATGTGAAATCACAGAAAGCAAATTTTAAAACTCGGAGCTGATATCCTAAGCCAGTGAAACACTCCGATCTGTCCAAAGGTGAAGTTGGACAGATTTATTTGCCTATAAACTACAGTCTTAAGCAAAGTTCTATGATGCCTGTGACTGTTGTGATGAAATGATGCTCCAGTAAAAAGTGTAATATGCCTGCTTATCTAGAGGGACATCAGTCTAACACCAGTATAAAGGTGTGTTTGCAAGCCCAACCTTTGTGGACAGAGCCTCTGTAAAACGTTTTGCTAGTTTAGCTCTAAGTAAATAGCAGATTTTAGGTGGCCATAAATAATTATTATTTTTAAATCACACTTTAATATAGCAATAAATTTAATTTTTGGTGAATGTGGTAATACTATTTCACCTATTACATGCCTTTATTCCTTTTCTTTTTCCATCTGTGAATCTACGATTGGGAGAATAAGCAATGCAGTGTAACCACTGCAAATCAGCTGAACAAATTGAAAAAAATTACTGTTCGCAAGAAGAAAAAAATACCCACAGATGAATAACTTACTGAAGAACTTGGTGAAAAAATTTACAGACCAACCTGATTAATATTGTGAACTGACAGACAAAGGAAAAATCACAATACTTCTCACACTAAACTTTCATTAATAGCATTTAGTGAAGTTTCTCAGAGGAATCATATATTCATCAAAGGTACAATAACCTGTTTACTTAAAGTGGTTTTTGATTCAACACTGTCAGACTGAATATTCCTGAACTTGTAAAATTATATTTTTAGGCTATGGTTAGTTACAATAACGGAGGGTAAAATACTATCAAACATATGTAAATATACAAATATTAAATACTTGTATCTTTCAGGGAAAAGAAAAATACTTCCCTTTTTCAGATTAGGCAAAAACCATTATTTTCCCATTTGTTTTCATTCAGTAGCTCAAATGCCAAATCAGCTGTTTTCAAATTGTAAGTAAAAATACAACTGCCCTCTTCTATTCACCATTCTCTTTCAGTGCAATCCAAAATATATCCTTAAAACAACTACTTGACAAAGTAAAAAGGTTTTTCTCTTTACAAGATTTTGCATGGTCGAAAACATAAAAAATATCCCTCAAACTAGGTAAGCTTGTTTAAAAATATACAAAAATTGGGTCACAACTCCTCTCCTCCTCTCCCTTCAATAGCAGTTCAATTTCACAATCACATGGGCTCTATTTGTAGGAATAAAGAGGCACATCATCTGCAAGTACAAACTCACTCCCAGAAGTTTAATCTTCCACCATGGTAGGAATCATTTACAATGCGTCCAATTCCCTCCTGAACCACCACAGCTCGTATAATCACAGATGAAAATCCAGCAACCATGATTCCAACCTGGAAAACGTCTGTCCACACCACTGCCTTCAGACCGCCCTGCATGAGGAACAGCACATATCAGATACAACAGGGTAGCAGCACTCTTGTCTTGTACTCACATTCAACTAACAGAAACATTACTGTTCAGATGATGTATAATAGATGAATTTCATCTTCTTCTTTAATAGAACTATTGTGTACTGCTGTCTTTAGGATTGTATTCTGGAACCTATTCAGGACATCCTGGCCCTTTTTTGAAGTGCAGTAGCATTTACTTTGGCCATACACATAGTTTAATCCAGTATTTTCTTCATCACATAGCCTGATTCAGAAGTTTGTATCAAAAGATAAATTTGCAGACAGTGCTCATCTTACTTATATATATTCAGTAGTACTAGTTCCAGAAGGTATACCATTCATGGAATAAAAATACACACGATTTAATCCAACACTTGGTCAATTAACACTAATTTGAAGACCAATCTGTTCATGTGGCACGTGCTATTTTCAGTGGCTCTATGCAATAACAGACAGGACTGTTACAGTTGCAATAAGAAGTTGTTTGACAAATTACAAATTGACAAATTACACAGCAAAACTCTACTAGATCAGAAGAAAAATCACAGGATTTTTAGGAAGGGAAATCTATCTTTTTACTGTTCTTTCAGCCACAACAAAAGTTTGAATGTATCAAAACAGAAAAGGTTTGAGTCACATAGTGACTGCCAATGCATCCAGAGATGCCCCTGGGTGAATGTGGCCTTCTGGCCACATCTACACTGTGAAATGTACTTCCAGGTGGTAACCTGATTATTAGGCCGCTATCTAATAAATTCCATATTTGATGTGAGCAGTGAAAGGAACAGAGATTTTTCTCAGCCTAAGGGCCCACATACCAGCGTGCAGTAGAAAGTGCAGACCACGCCAGTCGCCACCACTGCACCCCACAAGTCGAAGCCAGTGACTGAAAGAGAGGGAAATGGCACCAGCATGAATGAGGCACTGGGGACAAAACACTGAAGGTTGATTTTTCACCCTCAATGTCATTGCTGAAAAAAGTTAGAAATAAGTTAAATGCAGAGGTAGGAGGTAAAAATGGCAATGAAAAGATTAGTGTGTCTAAACCAGGGGATTTGGCCTAACCAGTTCTAAAAATGAAACAGTTGTAACAGATTTGGAAACTGCTAAAAAGTTAGATATATTTCAGGATCTAAGAAACTATTTGTCTTTAATGTGAACACTACCAGACAACACATCCAATATATTTGTAGGTCCCAGCTCAGGAAGATTTTAAAATACATGACCTTCCTTGAAGCACCTGGGTAGCACCACAGAGCCCCTAGGCAGGGATTTACGCAAGTAAACAGAATAGGTGTTCTCCACGGAGGCAAGGTCGTTCAAGCATGGTCTGGAAGAAATGCATCAGACTAAAAGCCTTTTTTTCATTCTTCTTTCTCTTAAGGGTAGTATATTTACACCATACAACACTGTGCTGTGGATGACATACAGGCTGTTACTGCCCCAGCTTGGCATGCTTGTGTGGTGTCAGGCAAGGCATCAGGGGACTCCCCAACAGACAGTTCAGGCTAATGAGAACCACAGCAATGAAACTAATGAAAAACGTAAATTCTTCTAGTTGGGATTTAGCAAAATCATAGCTTGGTTTCCTACGTATATGCAAGGCAAATATGAATATCAAAGACGTAAAACCTGTGAGTTCACACTGAAGAAGACCAGTACAGACAGTGTTGTGTTTTTTTCTTCCATTTTGTTCAAGCAAAAAGCCAAAAAAATATCCAATGAGCAGAAAAACTGTAACTTGATTCTAGCCAAAATGATTAATTTTTAATTTGCATTTTATTATTCCCTTTTCTTGCCAAACAGACAAATTAATGGTGTCAGATTAAAAGTTTAATTTGGCTCCATACAAAAGCTTTTTACTCTTTTAGAAATAAATGTGGCTCGTTTTCAAAGCAAAAAGTCACTGTGAAGCAGAAAATGGAAATATTTAATTTTGTAAATATCACAACAAATATCTTAAGTTGACAATCTCTTTTCTGTTGGTTTGGTTTTCCTGGCAAAATGAGAGACCACATTAAACATTTCCAGGAAGTCCAAAACCATATTTACAGAACTTTTGCCTCGCCCTCATCTTGAAGAAGAGCACTTAACCAGAGGAATTAATTTCATGTTTAGTGTCTGCATTGCCTTCAAAATTTACTTAAGCCTTAACTTTTCTGAATGCGCCCATTAACTACAGGTATTGCATCAGAGGTAGAGCAAATGAGTGGAGGTTTTCCTCTAAATCTTTTCTGTAGTTCCTTGCAGGTAGGGATTAAGGGACTAGGATTACAGAGTTCCCATCATAAAATTTACAGTCAAGACTTGAGCTATATTTTCAGGTGTGCATTACCAAAAAAAAAAAAAAGGATACCAGTACTACATGCAGGGAAAAAAAATATATCAGTAGAAGAACAGTTGCAGTATATTCATCTTACCTTGATTTAGTGCTAAAGCTGGAGCATAAATGACAATACCAGTGTATAAAGTCTAGAAGGAAAAAGAAGATTAAAGATCAAAATAAATGTAAATTCCTGGAAAGGTGATAGCTTCCTGAGATTATTTCTTTTCAAGCACTTAGGTAGTCTATATTTCCTAAATTTGTAACTGTTGGCAAATAATTCCAATTAGAAGATGAATGACTGAGTCTAATAAACTCTGCAGTCTCACAGCCAAGTGTTACTAAAACAAATACCAGGGACTCTTAAATACAAAATCCCTCTTCATCTTCTCCTGGATTTCATAATTAACTTATTTTATTCCTTTAAAACTGCAAAAGGAAACAAGAGGAAAAGAAAGTTAATGAGGTTTACAGGTGGTTTGCCAAGGAACCTATTACTATCTATTTTCTCAGTCTTGGGATCAATATGCCTTTCAGTATACAGCTCTAATGCATGTGAGTAAGAATACAAAATACAACACCAGCTAGTTGTTACGGATAGCATTATAAGGAATTATAATCTTCATCCTGTGAGATGAAGCCATATATGATTATCACCTGTAAGATGAAGCCATACATGATTATCAGCAGCTTTATATTTTCAGCCACAGTAAAGATACAGACAAATCGAGTAGCTACTCCATCTACTTTAGTGGGCACAATGGGATTCATACACTGATATCCTCTACAATTTCCTTGTGTATATTTTTAAATCCTGTTTCCTTTTTCATCGCTGTTATTACTGCCCCAAGTTCAGCTGTGATATGGGTCAGAAGAATATAGCTTGCAATGTGCAGATGACTTCTGTGAAGGTCAGTGGTCTCGATTCAAAAGATCTAGATCACAGACAGGTCCTAAGCTGACTTGCATCAGCTTTCCACGGCTGGACTCTTCTGACTCCCTGATTTACAGCGGTGGGACTTGGGCATGGAAAAACAGCAGAATCAGATGTCATCCAGGATTCAGTGAGCCTCTGCCCTTCCTGCAAGTGTGGAGTCTGCCCTAGGCACTTGTGGTAAACCAGAGCAGGATTGCTAACCACTGGATTACTTGCTGTGGCTTTTGAGCAGATCAAATCCAGTTCCCAAGGTAGAGCTCTACCAATGGCCAGTGGCAACGCTGGGGATGGAGCCAAGAGGTAAATGGAAGGAGCAGCACTCCAGCTATAGGAGGAAACTAATATGGAGAAGCTGCTTCACCCAGTCTAACCTAATTGTGCTGGGCCCCTGATGTACACCTGATACAAGCACATGCCAGAAAGGATAGTGAGGCCATTGGGGAAATAGTTATTCCTACCTGTACTCTAACTCCCTGCCTCTGTGTGTGCATGCTTGTTTCTCTCATTGCCATGAGTCCTCTCTAGATTTTCATATATAGCTTGTATTACAAGAAAGCTGCCACTCCTGACCAGTCCCTGGCAAATATATCCTCAGAACCAGATGCATCACTTCACAGGCAGCTGCTGACACCTGTCAAGCCCAGTCAATGTTGACTTGCAGTCCATATAGTGACTGTCAATATGTGCTGCTGAGCCATAGAATCTTAGAAGGGTTTGGTGGGAACGGTCCTTTAAACATCCAGTCCAACTCCCCTACCGTGGACAGGGACACCTTCCACTAGATCAGGTTGCTCAGAGCCCCATCCAGCCTGACTTTGAACACTTCCAGGGATGGGGCATTGCACTACTTCTCTGGGATACCTGGTCCAGTGTCCCACCATCCTTGTTGCAAATACATTCTTCTTTATATCCACTCTAAATCTACCCTCTTTCAGCTTAAAACCATTACCCCTTGTCCTGTCACTACAGGTCTTGGTAAAAATCTCTCTCTACTTTTCTCATAAGCCCCCTTTGAGAGGCTGCAATAAGGTCTCCCCGCAGTCTTCTCTTCTCCAGGTTGAACAATCCCCATTGTTGGCTGCAACACATTGAATGCAGCCATCAAGCCAATTCTTTTTCCTTCTACTGCTAATTCAAAAGATTCAGCATGAGAACTTATGACTTTCTCATACACAGCAAGTAAGTGCCAGAACCATCAGAAATTAAAATTTGTCACAACTACAGTCACATTTTGGTGTAAATTTAAATAGGACTGATACAATCTTGCCAATTCTTCAGTAGGTTTTTGTTACTGTTGTTGTACTACTACATATCCTTTTCTTTTCCTTCTTTTACCTATATCCCAATATTCACAGAAGAGTTAAAATTACACCATTAAAATCTTGGGAGGTTTTCTTTCCTCACAATTGTTTTATTTATTCAGGTAAAGTTGTTAGTGCTTAACAGAGAAAGCCACCTACCGATCTTTAGTTAATTTCCTCGAGCACATATTTAAGTTCCATAGAATTACTTTTCTGATTTTTGAAAGCAAAGATTATGCTTAGCTTGTTCCAAGTTACGCAACTGTGATGTCTTCACATGCTGATGAAACAGTGTCAGGTTTCACACATGCTAGCACTCTAGTTTTCCTATGGGCTTGTGTATCCATAAATGCCAGCTAAGCAGCACTGCTCAAACAAGTAATGAGCACTGCATTGAGAACCATCTTATTGGTGTGTGTGTGATTGGCCTGTAAATTCTGGTGTACCTTAAAAAATTTTAAAAACGTACAGAAAGCAAGCTTATTACTTAAAAAGCTTTCTGATTGCATATTCATTCTTACTCCGAATTACCCCAAAACTCAACTTCAAAATTGTGAAAAGAACACATTTTAATTTCTGGTGCATTTGGCACACCCTGACATTTGCAAGCTGTGGTCTCATACTGACTGTCTGAATGGACTAGATACAGAAAACTGTACCAGCAATAATTTCAGGGACTGTTTTAGTTTAACATTCCCAAGGGCAGCAATTTTCTACTTCTCAGTTTGCAGATACCTAGTTTTTTTGCAGTGGTGGTGGTGCAAATCCTTGCAGAGTAAATGACAGCTCCTGACAGCTTGTTTTATCACCTTTCACAGACCCTTGAAAATTGGTTAGACTCCAAGAATCCACACACCAGAGGATGAAAACTGCCACTGTATATAACTGGGACATGTTTATATTTTGAACCCATTGTGGGTTTCTCCAGCAGGCAAGCGAATGACTGCTCTTCACACTGCTACCCTGCAGTGAAGGGTCGCTCGTCTCTTAGCATGGTGCTAATGTCAAGTGACTGCTCAGGGTGTTCAACAGTGCACACAGAGACCCGAGAGTCAGGTAGCCCAGCATCTGCTCTGCCTCTCACCACTTTGGAGCAGAAAGGGCTTTGTTTCTCCTGCTCCCAGCCACCCAGGCACTCTGGTAACCTCATCAACTGCTCAGAGAAAACAGCAGTTACACTCAACCAAATAATTCTGGTGGCCCTGAGGACCACAGAACAGCTTCAAGGTTTACTTGCCGTTTGTATAATGAAGAGGACCGTTCCACAGAGGCGTAGATATTTATTAAACCGAAGTTCTAAATACTGCAAAAGAGAAGAAAATATCAATGTTTATATTGAAATTTGACACTATTGATAGGAATGAATCCATCACTTCACTAGAATGAAGCAATAAGAAACAAAGAAAGAGCATAGCATTGTTTTTACATTTGCATGAATGGCCAAAACTCGTAGAGTCATCCTGATGGATAACTCTTTCAACTTGAGTTGATATCTTTTTACAGACCTCACCACAGGGTAATAACACAAATAAGTGAAGTAGACATAAGCTACTCAGTATACAGTGGAGTCTACAGAAAAGACCAGGATATATTATCACAAAATCATTGACTATCCTGAGCTGGAAGGGACAAAAATCCACAAGAATCAAGTCCAAACAACAGCAAACAACAAAACCCAATTGTGTTGTGAAATCAGAGAGAAAAAGAAAACGTTGTGACTATTTCTAAGTCGATTTGGAAACTCTGGCATATTATGTGTATCCATCTAAACTGCTGTGAGAGAGGGCAGAAGGTTTTCAGTGGTAATCTCACCTTTTGCGCTGCCCAAGGCAGCCTGCCATATTTTACTAGTAAGTCAAAATTCAGCCACCTGTGAAACAGAAATCCTCATTTTTTCTGTCTAGCCTGGGACAACACAATCTCTGAATGAGTTTGTCATGCTGTAGGACAGATTTCTTCCCACTATCTGCCCTAACAACCTTCTTGGTGTGTGGTTGTACAAGAGGCATCTCATTTGCCTGACAATCTGTTCAATCAACACAAACACTGAAGCATCTCAAAGTGCTCACTTGTGAACTGAGCATTTAAAATGTGATCTGTGAGCATGTCCACACAAGGAAGCAGTCCAGAACCCCTGGACACACACAAAAAGTTGTTAGAACTCTGAACTCTGTCCAGAAATAGAAGATGTATCTTTTATAGGTGCATTACTCTGGTTTAACCCCAAGATAATCAGTGAGCTTCCAGTCATAATTATAAACCTTTATTTAAAAGAGCCCTATTTAAGTATCATCATGACAGTCCAAAGATTAGTAGTTTAAAACACACTGGAAGCCACCAGAGATTTCTGTTGGTGGATCCTTATCTAAATCTACCAACAGAAATCTTGTTTTCAGCCTCCAGTGCTGCAACACCTCTGTTCAGTGTAATAAAATGCTAAAGACCAAAGTAGCTAGTCAAGGATTTTCACCTGCACCGATGCTCCTTTCCCAAAGTCCTCTGTCAAAAAAGCAGTTGCCTCCAAATCTGCAGCTATGAACTACCTTCAAGCAGGAAGATAAAGAGGTTGCACCAATGTTCTGAATCAGAAGAAAATCCTGACCAGATGCTTCCCCACCCCAAAACAGTCAGACTTGACCTGTGATTGTCCCACCACCCCAGATGTCTCTGCCCTGATGGCTATAGGTTTAACTTACAGGCTGAGCTGAAGACCAGCTCAGCCTTATTTTGGTGGAAGTAAGAGAATGCTCGCAGACACAGAGCACTTGCTGACTTCCCTGTATATGCATGATGAAGACATTCAGTGGTGTAAACAGCCTCAGGTGGCAAGGAGTGTCCCTAAAATCTCTAGGAACAGCACAGATACATAGTCTGCCAAAAGGGGACTTTTGTGGTTACACCTAGGCTTAGAAACCAATCTGAAGGGAGCATGATGTGAGAACTCTGGTTCCTATAGTAGATGCTCTTGTGCATTAATTACAGATGATTAATGACATGTCACCATCCAAGCTGCACAAAGATTAATCCACCTACTGAACTGAGTATCTGGAGTGAGGAAACAAATCTGGCATGACGCACAGCTCCTGAGCCAAGACAGCAGGGTTGAGCATCTCCTCTCTGCAGAGACAGTGTGGGCAGACTTGGGGACAGAGCCGGTTGCAGCCTGCTCTCAGGAGTGTGGTGACACAGGAGAGCAGATAGTGCAGGGGATTTGCAGGAAGAGATGGAGGACAGACATGTAGAAGCAGGCATGAGATCCCCCCAAGCTCCCTAAAGGCTGGGGAAAGGTTCCTTCCACTCAACCTTACCTCATAGGTGCTGGTAATGCCCAGCCTGTAGAAAACGGGCAGGAAGATCTCGGCACTGCACAGCACCACCAGGCAGTAGGTGATGGCAAAGACGCAGAAGACGGCACCATAGCGATAGATTTCGGCAGGGGTGCCCAGCACGGTGACGGCTGACATGAAGCTGGCAGTGAGGGACAGTGCAACCGGGAGGGCACTCATGCTGCGGCCTGCCGTGAGGAAGTCCTTTGATGTCTTCTGCCCCCCTCCCACGAAGGCGTAGTAGACCCCAATGACGGCTGAGATCAGCAGCATGGCCGCAAATACCACATAGTCCCAGGCGGTGAAGCGCGCCATTCTACCAGAGGGATTCACCCTTGGAGCCAAGGATCTGCCCCAAAATTAGAGGGGCAGCTGCTGCCCCCTCAGGGCTGGCACAGAGCGGCCTGAGCAGGAGGAAGCAGATGAAGACGGGCCCCGGGGAGGTGCCCCCCGCCGGGACCGCGTCAGGGGCGGTGCGGTGCACAGCACTGGGACAGAAGCGGAGCGGTGCTGTGCGCTGCGGTGTCCCCCGACGGGACAGGTGCGGAACGGTGCGATGCGCACACCGGGACAGAAGCAAGAGAGGCGGGCCGGTGTCCGCCCGCGGGACAGTGCGGTGTGCGCCCGCGCGGTCTCACGTGTGTCTGCTGGGGCGGGGGGGAGCGGGCTGGCGCCGGGGAAGCGTTGTCGCCGGGACGGGCGGCCGGGGCTTTACGGTACGTGCCCGCTCTCGCCGCGGCGGTGCGCGCCCCCGCGAAGCGAGAAGGGGCGGTGATACCCCGCGCGGTCCCGCCGGGCGTCCGGGCCATCGCAGCCGCCCCGCGCCTCCGGGCCCCGGGGCGCCCAAGCTTCGGGATGCGGCGCCAGGGCAGAGCTCCGCCTGAATGGGGTTACACTGCAAACTTGGATCGCCGTCCAGGGCTTTTGGAGGAAAGAATTTCACTTGACATTTCCCCAGGATAGGGAACCTACCCTTCCTCGTTAGCATAGGCCACCATCTCCCCAAATGAAGAAGGTGAAAATATGGTTTAATATATACATTTCCATGGGTTGAGCAATCTGGAAGGTAACTCACTGAATGAGAATTACCAAGGAAGTTGCTGAACACTGAAGTTGCATAACAGGGAAGCCCCACTACCTGCACTGTGCTCACTTTTTACTTAAGAGTCTTCAACTAATTGCAGGTTCAAGAGTCAAAGTACACAGGAATATCAGAAGTGGAACTTCACATATCTTACCCACAGAGGAATACATCAAAAACACCTGTGGGGTTTGAAAGCTGTGGATGCCAAGCAGTGGAGATGTGCCCATTCCTATAGCTAGCAGCACACACAGGACTAACACAGCAAATACCACATTCGCCACTTTGCCATATATCAGCAACCCCAGATGTGGAATGAAGGTGAAAGGATGGCAAAGTTGCCTTAGATGTGCTTGACAGCAGCACAGGCACACACAGCAGCAGGGCTCAGAAGGTTTGCACAGTATCTTTCATCTTGAGCTGTGCATTGGCATAGTGCTATGCTAGAGGTGATTTTCTGGGAAAAGTCAGTACCAGCTTGAGGACCAAAAATTCCTCCGTTTCCTTTCATGGAAGGTAGATAAAGCCTCCTTCCTGCCCAGCCTTTCCTGGCTCTTAACCACAGCTGGATTTACTGGAAGCAGTCTTTGCTGCAAGTGCTCTGAGTTCAGTACAAGGCACTCTGACCTGCCTGAATCTGACCCTTCTGAGACGTGGTTTTCAGCAGCCCTCTGTATTTTAAAATAGAAATGAACGATAGACACCCAACAGCCAAACCCAGATCATGGAGCACTGCTCTCTCCTGGGACCTCTGGGTTTGGCAGGTCTTTTGGAGTTACTTCTGAGTGCATGTTGAAAGGAGAGGGTGCAGGTGGAAATCTGGTCTGGCAGAATTATTAAGCTGAGCTGTGAAATCATGTCTGTGTTGGTCTGGACTCTAGATGCCTATCTGGGAGTATAAATGTCCCTGAACAGACAGAAGCTGTCCACTGTGGTGCAAGTGGCATGTCCTAATCTCCCCATGGCAGGTTAGGGCATCAGTCTCTCTGGCCCAATTACTCTCTGATTACTTATACGATGAGTAACAGCTTCTAGATGTCCTGCTGAGAAAGACCAAGAAAGAAGCTTATTGACTACACCTACCAATTAGGCTTTGATTTATTGATCATCTGAGGTGGTTGCCCTAAATGAGCTTTTGACAATGTGAAAGATGTGAAACCTTTCCAGCAAAGTTTCATTCAAAACCAGAACCTTCCACTCAGTGCAATGAACTGCTGTTGTCTGGAAAAAGTATTTGTTGTCAAATACACAACCCCTTTCTCAAGGGAAGGACATAAACAGGCTCTTGCCCAGACCCACTGCTTGTGCTGCTTAGAGCTTCCTGCTCAGTGTCCCTTGTTTGCACTCTTTCAGGAATCATGTTGCTGAACCCATTCAAACAATAACATGCATTTAAAGTATTAATTATGCAGGATTAATACAGTTTTGATTCTGCTTCTTTATCACTTTTGACATGATGTAAACACAGCAAGTGATAACACGTACTGGAAAACAAACCATGTTTCTTAACTGAAACACAAGCAGCTATGAGGAAATGCACATCACTCTGGTTTCAGGTGTTATCTTTGGTTCTTTTAACAGTAGTGTTAAGCAAATTGTCTTTTCAAATGTCATCATGACCAATACGGCAAGAAAGGCTGGATGTTTCCATTTTTGGAACCAGCAGTGAATCTGTGTGATGCCCATGTTCTAAATCACAGGAAGTGGTCCTGGAGAACAGGACTAAATGTTTTTCTTCTGGATTTTTCACAGACGGAATCAAATTAGCTGTGTGGAGTTGTACTGTGTAACAAAGACAGAACTGCAGACATTTGCTTTTTCTCATTGCTACAATTAGATACTTAAATGTCTTCAGAGCATATTTCATTGCCTTCTTGTAGCACCCTACCCCATCTCCACTGGGTCTTATGTGGTCTCTCATTTCACTGCCTGTGTGACTGTTATTGTGAGATCCACTGACATCCCTGGGATTCAGTGTTTAATAGCACAAAGTGTAAGATTCACATTTCTCCAGAACCCTTGAATTAAAAAGGACATGAATCTGACTAAACAAACCCCAGACTGCCTAAGGGGTCCAAATGGTTCCTTTCTTGTGATGGTATTGGGCTCATTTCCATTACTGGACACCTCTGTGAGGTGTTACTGGAAGTGTCTCTATTGCTTGGAAGGACATTCCCTCCCTGCTCCTTTCCATGTGGATGGACCACTGCATTGGGAGACTGGTGGGATGGATTTCCTTCTATAGATAAGACAAATATATTGAGCCCTTGGAGAGATGCTGCCCACCTCTCTGAACTGAGTTGTGGAAATAGATTTTGAGGAATTCTCCTACTTGTAGGCAAATGTGGGCGTGGGCAAAACCAACTGTGAGTGAGGTAGGATAGCACTTGGAGGCCTGGTGACCACTGTTCAGCAGTGACTCAAGACCCTTTGCAATTTGCCCTGGCAGCGTGAGAGCTTTCTAACTTCTGGTAATTCCTTGCTTGAGTATGCAGTTTCAGACTATGTGGGGTTCAGCTGTACCTGCACCAGCTGAGCTCAGTTTGCAAATGAAGAGCAGTTCAAGCTCAATTTTACTCCTGTAAAATTGAGTGCCAGGACTGGGTCTGGAAGACTGAACTCTGTTCTCTTCTGCTTACACACAGATCACCTTGGAAACCTTGCCAGAGAATGATTGGCTGTAGGTAAAAACAAACAAAGTAATTTCAAAACAAAATCTGCAAAACCTAATTTTTCGCCTTTTTGTGCTCTATTTGGCCTTTTCTGGGAACACTGTTACGATTTGTCATTTTGAAAAACCCTGTTTATTTTTGTTTGGATGATCTGTTAGGAAATGAGGGGTGTGGGATTATGCTCTCTGTGTATACATACATCTATGCATGTGGAAAGTGTTTGTCCTTCATCCAATGACCACAGCACACCATGACCAAATCTACAGAGAGGCTGAGGCCTCGGAGAGACTAAAGAACTACCAGTTGCATTAAAGTAGATGGGGGGAAAAAAAGAGGGATCCCATAAATGTTCTTATTGAAAGGAGGACTGCAGCAGGAGCACTAAACCTCTGTTAGGTAATGGTGAAACCATCTGAGAGGAAGACTTTAAAAACACCCAACTGCAGGCAAAGCTTCTCATCTTCTTAAGTACTAAGACACAGGCATTTGGGGATCCAGGTTCCATCTACTCCTCTGTTCATGGAGCTACCTGTTAAATTTCCTTTACATCATAGTTATTGTTAAGAACAACATATCAAAATTAATCATTGATTCCTAATTAAACAGTCTGACTTTTCTCACAATGCAATCCTTCAAAATGCACTTCTTTTACTTATGGTAGATTTGGCTTGCAGCAACTGTTTTCTGCACAGCACCACCAATCATCCTGAGAAGTCTGCTTGCATTTTGATGTAAAGGAAGCTGATTTCTGATGGTGTTTCATATTTCTGAAGATGCGTTAGTGTTTGGCTACACCCTAATCTCTTCTGCTTGCTGTGCTTGTCCATACACTGCTGTTTTGAATTGCTGGGCTTAGTATAGTTAAGCCCACCACCATCACTGACTTTGCTTCTTCTCTCCTGATTTAATGCTACTGTCGTGGTTTAATCCCAGCCAGCAGCCAAGTACCATGCAACCACTAGATTACCGCCTGCCCCCACCCCCACTGTAGTGGGGAAGAGAATTGGGAAAAAAAGAAAAGTAAAACTTGTGGGTTGAGATAAGAACATTTTAATAAGTGAAACAAGATAAAATCTAATAATGATTATTATAAAAATTATAATAATTACAATATCAATTTGAACGGAAAGGAGAGGGAGTGGGATAAAATCCAAGGGAAACAAGAGATGCACAATTGCTCACCGCCTACAGACTGATGCCCAGCCTGCACCTGAGTAGCGTGTTCTGGCCAACTCCCCTCAGTTTATATAATGGGAATGGAGTTCCGTGGTATGGAATAACCCTTTGGACAGTTTAGATCAGCTGTCCTGACTGTGCTCCCTCCCAGCTTCTTGTGCATCTGCTCACTGGCAGAGCAGGGGAAACTGAAAAGTCCTTGACTTAGGGTAAGCAGGCCTTAGTAACAACTAAAACATCCATGTGTTACCAACACTAGTCTCACATTACATTCAAAATGCAGCACTGTACCAGCTACTAAGAAAAAAATTAACTAATCCAGCCAAAACCAGGGCAGCTACCTTAGAGGAATCTTCCTGGTAAGGTTTGGAGACTTGGCAGGGAGC